GACATCAGGAACAGATGTTGCACATGGTGAGGCCCATCAAGGGACAACAACTCTGCATCAGTCTATGAATATTTTAGACAGCTTACTGCTGTACTTATCAGCGAAAACACACTCATGCCGGGCAAGGACCCAGCCGGTCTGATCTTAAATTCGGGCGATGCTGCAACGACTTTAGTGAAGAAGTGGGGGAAAAATGCACGATAGGTTGACGAAGTGCTGGCTTGCGAAAAGAGGACGAAGAAATTGTGCAAGCACGCATGAGATGGAAACAAAGCCCTCTTCATCCCGGGTCAAACAATGGCGATTCTGTCAAAGCTTTACTGCTTATTTATCTAGTGTAATATCAGACCGTAGATCTTTTCAATATATGTGTAGATACTGAGGTCAACATCCACATTCCTGTAATCCACACCCTTTTCTAAGCACAGCATGGGCCAGAAGCCTCAACCTCTCCTTGACCCCTGAGGAAAAGAATCCCTCAACCTTATCCCCGGAGAGACTTTCATTACAGACAAAAACAGAATCCATGGGTGGCCAGAGTCATATTCTGATATTAGGGCAGAGGACATGGATTTGATATGAGCCTGGAAATAGTCCTGTAGACTTCAGAGTGAGCCCCGGGTTACATGTTGAGCTTTAATGGACCTCCTCCTGCTCATCAATCACGCGGAAGGAAAATGCTTAATTGCAGATTTCAGACCGATGCAGTAGCCTGACATCATCCTAGCGGAATGGGAGAGAGGAGACAGGTTTTGAATTGCTTGTGAGCCGTGCAGATGGATACCACTTCCTAGTAAAGGTAAATGTCCTCATGAATTATGAGCTTGTAGCGGCATTTAGAGTTATGGTTGACACAGATCAGCTCAACATTCAATATCACAATTACAGTAAGAGCTGGTGTAATGTTTCTCATATGGATAGTAGCATAAACCTTAGACCAGGAACTGAATCACTGCAATATGGACATACACCACAGTATATAGAGCAAGATGTTAATCGCTCTGTATTTCATGACTCAGGTAGGGGAAAATGATTAGTTTGTGTTTGAACTTTTCATATTTTTATAGAAAACGTTTTTATAGCACCAGCGCAATATGTGTTTTCATTGAAAACCACGCAGAGTTTTTCCAGAAGAACAGAAGATTTTGAAGCAAAACAACTCGCATTCCTCGGCTTTCAGCTCGAGCCGCTCAGAGTTCAGTTTTGATAGAGAAATGTCTTCTTTCCCTCTGGTAGCAATGATGAGGATGATTTTTATTCTCCTTAATATTCATTCGAGATAAACAAATGTTTTGTGTCAGTATGAATGCATTTCCCCCCCACTTGAGCGTTAGCCACTCTCCAGCCAGACAAAAGAGAACGCAAGGGATTGTAATTTTAAAGCGCAACTCCATTCGCCATGACTGACATCTCTCTCTCTCTTTTTTTTTAATTGACCCCAGGTCAAATAGGGACTGGGATAATATTTTGTTAAATTATTCTCATTTCCCTGTGAATCACATTTCCATATATCTCCACTTCATGCCTTATTTATTACCTCCCTACAATTACCATGCAAACGATGTCTTAACTGTCACCCCTTTCTCCCTCTGAACAGTTTAGTAAATATCAAACCATATTTATTATTAATAAACCCACAGCTGAAAACCCCCTTTTTATTTATAAATTATTCACAGGCTCAAAAGCTCGGGGAGCAAGGGCGCCCTCCATTTGATGCCACGGAGGCCAATATAATTAAGACTATTGGCTCGAACTGATGCTGATGCAAGTATCATCTGTTTTGCCCTCATCTATCTGTCCATCTGTGCGAGCCATAGGAAATCATACATTTCAATCACAGCAGCATGCCTGGTGACAGACTTTGCACAATGGATGTTGATTTTATTATCACAGCACAACTGGTGGAGACACCCTGCTGTTTTACAGCTCACCCTAACCCTGCCTTCAGTCACTCCATGACGGTTTAACACATGCTCACTATGGCCCAGCAAACACACACTATGTGTTGTGTGCGTGTGTTATTGATGAATGATTTCCTTTGATTATCCTTCCTATACTCAACCTGATTTGCACACTGACACAAGTACAATAAGCAAGTATCTGTGTGTGTGTGTGTGTGTGTGTGTGTGTGTGTGTGTGTGTGTGTGTGTGTGTGTGTGTGTGCTCATTTACCCATGTGCTCAGTCACTCTAACCTGGGTTGGCTTCCCAGCTGTGCAAGCTGTTTTTTCCATCAACATGTGTTTACTGGCAGGGGACCCTTATGTTTGCATTACAGGGAGGCAATAAACAGGAAGGCCAGCCCCAGGGTTTTAAAACTACTGTTTGGGGAGGGGGGCACCCTCATGAGGCGTGAGCCCTAATCACCGCGTGGTTCACTGTTTAATTAAATGCAATGCTAAATGTCAAAAAGAGAGATTCTTATTTTTGCTGTTGATGCTTTTTTATTTCATTATTTATTTTATTTGTTTATTTATTTAGGAACACATCAACACATGCTGAAGTCCTCTGTGTCCAAGTCTGCACACTTTGATGAATTTTTCACAGTGTTATGGTGCTTCAACCACCTGGATGTGCTAACAGGGCACATGTATTTATGTGTGTGTGTGTGTGTGTGTGTGTGCACACTCACACATGTGTGTGTCTCTAAAGGGTGGATGTGTTAATATTAAATTCATTCTTTGCATGTGTGAAAGACTGATTAACCAGATGACTCCGAGGCCTATTATTTTGGTTAATCAATAGATCCTTGAATAACTAATGAACAACATCAAAGAACAAGCCTACAAACAGCCACAGGCAAGTGATAGACTGCAGTGTTTTCATCTCTTTATAGAAGCCTTAGCGTTTGTTGAAATATGATAATGATTCTGTTCTCTTCTGTTCTCTTTGGTGCCCACTACATGACGCTGAACAATAACTAACTGAAAAAACTTCCATGAACTTATGCTACCTGACTAACTAAAAATCCAGTTATCATTGTAACTGAAATAATAGTGACACATGGCTGGGGTAAAAGTCATCAGTTGTGTGGGAGAAAGTGAGTACATAAAAGACAAAAGGCTCATCAACTAAACTAGTTTACTCTTCTGAAACAGCAGCTGATGGTTTCCGCTATTATTTCATCTGTGTTGGGGTTTATGTGTCAAGTGATTATTATACAGATTGTCCAAACATCTTTAACTGATTCTTCATACCCATTCTCATTAACTTCTAAATATGTTTCATAATGGAAGGCAGGGATTGATTTGGGTGCTAAATTTGGCCCTTGTCTGACCAAAATAGGAGAGTTGCTGTGTAACTTCACTGAGAGGAAGGAAGATTTTGTGCATATTTAAAATGAAGCCAGTCTTTGGATTTTCCTTCTCACATTGAAATGTTGTCTGTGGCATATAAAGCATTACCATAGCTAATGAATAAATGACGAAGATACAGTTATTGTTTGAAGAAAAATTACATAAATTTGAGTTTAAATTCATTTACTGTAATTAACCACATTTTTTGGAAAGTTGAGTTCACTTTCACCAGCCAGGGTCGATTACTGCTAGACCTGCTGAATTAAGAAAACCCATGAATAGATCCTGTCTGGCGAGGTGAAGTGGCCAAAAGATGTCAGAAAGCAACACATGATGGCCAGTGAATGATGGTGAGAGTCGTTATCCATAAATGGAGAAAACCTGGAATGGTGGTGAACCTTCCCAGGAGTGACCAACCTACACAAATTACTCAAAGAAGGCCACAACAGAATCTAGAACAACATTTACAGAACTGCAGGCCTCATCTGCCTCAGAGTTCATGATTCACCAATAAGAAAGAGACTGAGCAAAAATGGCATCCATGGGAGAGTCCAAGGAGAAAATCACTGCTGACCAAAAAGAGCATAAAGACTCATCTCGCATTTGCAAAACAACATCTTGATCATCCACAAGGCCTTTGGGGAAATATTGTGTGGACTGACGAGACAAAAACTGAACTTTTTGAAAGGTTTGAGTCCCGTTACATCTGGCATAAAATTAAGACAGCATTTCATAAATTTCATACCAACAGTCAAACATGGTGGTGGTAGTGTGATGGTCAGAGACTGCTGAACAACTTGTTATAATTGATGAAACCATGAATTCTGCTCTAAACCAGAAAACCCTGAAGCAGAATGTTTGGCCAGTTTGTACCCTAAGGCTTGAGTTATGGAGCAGGACAATGATCCAAAACACACCAGCAAGCTCACCTTTGAACGGCTCAACAAAACAAATGAAGGTTTTGGAGTGGCCTAGTCAAAGTCCAGACTTGCATCCAATGGAAATGATTTGGCATGACCTTAAACAGGCTGTTCATGCTTGAAAATCCTCCAACGGGCTGAATTAAAACAATTCTGCAAAGAAGAGTGGGCCAAAATTCCTCCACAGTGGTGTGAAAGACTCATTGCCAGCTTACACGAACACTTGATTGAGGTTCTTGTTGCCAAGTGTGGCAGCACCAGTTATTAGGCTTGGGGGGCAATTACATTTTCACACAGAGCCAGGTGGGTTTTAATATTTCTTTTGCTTATGTCATGTAAGCATCATGTTAAAACTGCAGTTTGAATTTGCTAAGATTTGCTTTGTCTAATATCAAAATTTCTTTAACGATCTGAAACATTCAAACGTGACAAATATACAACAACAAAAAAACACACACAAACAAACTTTGAAATGAGGAAGGGGCAAGTGCTTTTGTGCTGTGTATGATTTGGAAAAAAAAACTAATGGCAACAGCAAGAATCTGCATTTTCCCCTACAGGACAGGGAGCACATTGCTTTTCCAGCATCCTATTCTGTGGATTCATATTATTCAAGCGTTTTTTCACCCAAAGCTGTTAGAGCAGTCATTTAACTGTGAATAAGTTTTTTAAATGCCCTCCTCAGCCAATCACAGTCCCTTAGGGGCGGGGTCCCCCCCCCCGGCAAGCATCTGAGGAAGAAGGGGCTCCTCAGGCTCAGCTTCTGCCAGATTTGGCTACCCAGTACCACCACCAGATGACTGTCAGTGCGCATTTCCAATTGGCAGGAGGGAGAGTAAACCGAGGAGACCGATCGGGGAAGAGTGTGTATGAGAGAGAGGGAGAGAAGCGGGAGTGAGTGTGTTATAGAGGGAACAGAGTGAGAGACTCCAGCGGAGGGGCGAGAGGTAACTTCACCGAGGTTATCACTGCGCACTGTCGAGGAGGAGTGATCGCTTTTTTTTCGCGCAGCATGTTGAAGCAGGTTACAAAGTGGACTCTGGATGAACCTTCTGATTGAAACGCCCGATTCTCTAATGGACTGCTGGAGAGCACAGTGAGGCGAGAGCTGTGCCACAGTGGCAAGGAACGGAGACTGGGAAAGAAGCTGATGCAGAGGGGAAAGTTACCAACTGTGGAGATGTATTGCTAACTGCGAGTTTACTGACTGCTCGGACCATTCTGAGTCGTTTCTTTAAACTGGATGCTATTGTAGACGAATCTCCGGTGATCCCGAGCCCGGTGCCGCGGTGGACCATAACCAGCTCAGTCGCATAGACGGAGCGAGACTCTTTCCATAGAATACAATCAGCGGCAAGAGCAACTAAAATGTCTTCGTTATACCTCATCTTTTGCGTGATGGTCACAGGTAAGATACTCTTTTGTTTGCTATCATTTAACCACCCGGGTCCTTATTAACGGGGAAGGATGGACCGCGCTCCGTGCTGGCGCGCTGCGTCAAGCCATTCAGTGCGCTGCTGTAGTAGTGTGGGCATCTGATCTGCTGCAATGCTACATTTCACTGCTGTTAATTGCCGGTAAATGTTTAATTAGTTCTGAAAGAGTGATTACATCAGGAGGTTTCTCTGTCTGCGAGCAGTCCTTGATGAGAAATGGCACTGCGTAAGTGAGATTTGCAGTGATTTTTGCCCCCCTGATCTTATTCAAACATCGGAAGCCTGAGCGAAGTGAGCTTTCTTGTTTTGAATGGAAAGGCTCCGAATCATTGTACGAGGGTGCACAGACGGAAACTTTCACTTATTTGATTTCTTAAATCTGGGGACCGGTTGCGCCTGACCGCAGTGTTTCTCCACACGCGAGTGTCTTTTAAATAAGATGCTTTTTTGTTGTTGTTTTTTTTTAACGAGGCTCGTCAAGAATGCGCATTTAAGCAGGTGATAACAGAACAATTAAAGCTGGGTATGAGACAGCTCATTGCAGCTCCCTGCATCTTTTTTTTTGCCCTGAAGTTGGCCGGTGTTGCACACGCTGCATTCCCTTAAACAAAAAGAAAAAGAATGGGAAAAACACAAAAGCCAGAGGGGGTTTCTGCTGAGCTGACAGGATTGCGTCTAAAGTTTCTTTTCCTTTCATGTGGTGCGTAAACGGGCAAAAACGGACACGGTGTATCTTCCAACGGGGACTGCACGGTCTCCCGAGGACACGCATTTGAGATGGTAAGAGTGAGAGCGGGGAAGAGGGGGAGGCAGCGAGAAAGCAAAGGGGCAGAGAATGAGGGAGACACAAACTAGAGAGGGAGTGCATTTGTTTTTCTTGAGACGGGCAGACATAATGCACCTGTTTCCCCCCCACCCTCTCTCTCCTACACAAACACCACCACCACCCCTGTTGCTTTTTTATTGGCAGAACAGAGTTTATGAGTGATTATAACAAAGTCTGCTCATTGTGCCCCAGACCTTCCAGTATCGAGATTTCAAAATGCTTTAATTTTGAAGGAATTGTGAGGAGAAAGAATGTTTTGATGCACGTCTTGTTTTGAAAATGCGACTTGTCAGCTTTTGTTTTCCCTCCACACTTCAGCGTTGTAACTTATTATTAGTTATCCTGTAATAGAATTAACAGAACGATGCCGAAAACAGATGTGTTTTTAGGCTTAAATGCAATTATTACGAAACAAAAACAAACAAAAAAAAAGCAAGCAGGCTATCTGAACAGCTGCTACAATTTATTTGACTCGTTTTGTGCTGCTCTTGTTGTAGAAAAGACGCTTTCGGCAATTAACACTGAGCAACTGTTGACTTATCAGCATTTTTCAGCGTCGATAAACTAGAGCGCGGTATTAACACTTTGGGATGAGGAAAAATAATAATTAAATTTGAATGCAAGAGAATAGACAACAACCTGGCACTAAACACAGATGTTTTCCAGGGTGAGTGGAGGAAGAGGATCGTGGGGAGGCAGAAAAGATAGCATAATGAAATTGAAATCCTTTAGGCTTTATTGTATTTTCACCTCAGACAGACTTTCACCAAAAGCCCAAGCATGCCCAATGGCCATGTGTTGTGCATACATCTTTACCTTCAGCGTGGTTTTGTCATCATTCAAGGCTCCGGGGAGGAATGTGAAACGAGTAAACCTCCACTCCCTGATAGACTAGCAACAGCTGGATGAGAAGGAGCAGTAGCCAGACAGTGGCATATTTTCCGGACCCCAACACGCACACACTCACTCTCCCCCCTTTCACACTCAAGCACACAAATAATGAAAATGGTAACAGCTGCCCTAATTAGAACCTAAGAGACCCTAGACCTCATTTATTGTGTCAGTCTTATAAAGAGTCACAGATGCTCAAAATTCTTTGCACTCATAAATGTATTTTGTGGTATCCAAATTTGGCTCCAACACATGGCCTCACTTTGAAATTTATGTATGGCATATTGCATACATTTTGTAAGTATGTAGTCTGTACTACAACACAGATAATTTACTTTCCCGGATAGTCCCCTGGGCTCCCACAGGAATTGGATTCCACACTGAATCAGTATTCCGAGTAATCTTCAGTGAGCTCTTCTTTGGAACCTTTTGCTTTGGGTCGCTTGCGTCTCATCGGGCCAAGTTCAAAGGCTGTGAGCTAAGATTACAAGTTTCTCTCCATTCCTCTTAAGTCGTGTCGCCACTCATGTTTCACTATAGTGTGGCAGTGTGAAAATTTTCCACCTTGCTTCTTCTCACAGCATTTTTTTTTATTTTTCTTTTACTTTTTGCCCGGTCGCAGAATGTGTGACTGTGGAACACGGGGACAGGAGAGCGTATCTGCTTAATGGGCCGCAGGCAGATGGGAGACTTTCACCGACGGTTGAAAGCCTGTTCGCATTCATACCTCATACAGACACAAACATAGAAATAAACTCGAGCAGAGAAAGTGATAAATGCAGCCCCAGCTCACTCCTCCCCGCATTACCAGCCTGGGTTTTCCCATTACCAGATTTGTCTTTAAAATATAGAGTACAACGATGCTTGAGGATGCAGTGACAACATGGCCTGGGAGGTTTTGTTTTAGGGAGCTGCGCATATTTTATGAACTGCTGTTTTGCTGCTCTTTGAATTCTTTCGGAGGGGAGTCAGACTGAAGACAAAGTTGGGGGTGGAAGATGGAAGGAGAGTCTTAAAGGAGGGGTAAGACTTGGATGTGTCACCAGTGTCTTGATGATTAAGCGGACAAGCAGCGGGTAAACACAGAAGAAGACCGCTGAGCATTGTTAACCTTTCCCTGTCTTGTTAGTCTTGTCTCTGTCGCACAAACACACACACAAACAAACCAATGCGCTCTCTTTCTGCCTCCGTTTTACCTCCTCTCCTTGTATCATGCGCCTTTCTTTTCTTTTCCTCTGTGATAAAAACGATTGGAGATACAGTAAGAGAGTCTAAGTGCCAGAAAGTTTGGGGGTAAGAACTGTAGCCAGCCAGGGAGGAGTATAAGATATGAGGTTCACCAAGTGCAGACACAGCAGAATCTGAATGCAGCTGACTCTTGAACAGAAGTGCCTTGCAAAATTTGTGAGACAAAGTCAGGGCAAAGATAGATAACATGTGGTCAACTCGATGTTCAGTCCGTGTTGCTCGTTTTTAACGCTGTATCTGAAATTTCTAGAAACTAAACACAGAACGAAAGATTCACATATGCTTTTTTTATATTTTAAACTTTATCCCAACATGTGCATTTTAAGAGTTTTGTCAAGATTACTGTAGGTGACTGGACTGGATGAATAGTTTTAGAGCAAGGCATCCAGTTTTTCTTTTTTACAAATGATGTGGTCATGCAAACACACACACGCACAGGCACACCCGAGCCGGCAGTAATGAATGTCCAAAATCTGCAAGAAAGACCTGTTATTTCCTTTCATCCTGAAGACCCGTCATGCACACGAGGCATTGTCTTTCTGCTCTTCTTCATATCCTCTGAGCTCCCCTTCCTGCACACGCACTTGCAGCATTTTTACGGAAGGAGAAACTGGAATGAGAAAGGAAACAATGGGGCTTCATAATGTTGCTCATCTCTAATCAGCTTTGCCATGTGGGTAAACACAGATAAAGAACTTGGCAGTGTGTCCCGAGGCTTTGTTATCAGCTGTTAGCAACTTAAGTGGATGTGCGCACTGGTATGGCTCAACACAGGAAGCTCAAGTAGCCAGGTAGCAAACTGTTGATGACATTTGGCTTCTTTGTTATTATTTTTACCTCGTCCCACCCATCCTCCTTTTGTCTTCACTCTCTCCTTGTGTCTGTCTCTGCACATCCTCAGCGTGTCTTCCTCTGAGGTGGTTTGAGGAGCCGGAAAGGATATGACAGGGAACAGGACAATGGGAGCTTCCTGCCATTTTCCTAGAGTCTTCTTCCCCAGTTGTGACTCTTCGGGGCTGTGTTGTGAGCATACACACGGGCGGGGGACGGCACAAATTTGTTGACTCTTTCATTCTTCTGTACAAACACAGTAATGGAAAGAATAGAGAGAGGAAGAAAGTGGGATTAATTCTGTGCATGTCATTAGAACAGGCCCCCAAGGGAAAGAGTTGAATTTATACAGTAGCAGCTATTTTAGGAAAGACTTGTATTGCATTTATCTCCTCCCTAAAAATGCAAGTGTCACTTCCTTTTGCAGAGATATATCGCCATTTCAAAAGACCTTAAGCCCAGAAACCAACATACAACAGATGCACTAGACCACACATTCATTTTTATTTTCCAATCAATTCTTGCCCTGCAAGACAAGAATTTCATATCTCCTGCCGAGACGCAGAAACCAACAGCAAATTGAAATTTATCTTCTGCGTTGCAGCAATATCTGTTCCTGTGTTATCTTCACCAGCCGCTTTCCTTAACCTTGTATTAAAGATAGCTTTATTGGAGTAGAATTCTGGCAGCTGGGAAGAGTTTCAGGAAAAAGAAAAAAGTTCAGTTGGGAATCCCATCAGACAACATTTATTTAGCACTAGATGCAGATTTATTTTACTTCTATTTTTACTCTCTTTGCATAAACTATGATTGGCAGTGGCACTTGATTAGAAGGAGATATGAAATATTCAGCAGAGTGCACTAGGGCTTCTATGGCGTGTGCACATCATCCAGAAATGAATCACAAGGATCTCACGGAAGCAACACCCTGAACACACTCGCGCACCCACAGAGGTCAAGGGCGCACGCTGGGGCTGTGGATGATGAGCCGAGATGAGTGTTTGGCATCTTCAGGGCTGTGTGCTCTTTCTGGAGCGATTAGTCAAAGTCCAACTGTCTAATTAATGATGCTCCAGCTCTCAGGACATGTCACCTCCTTAACCAGCTACGGGTGAAAAACACATTCAAGGAAACAAGAAACTGTCTGCCTGCTGCTCATTTTATTAGATATGGAAA